TGTACAATATAAAGCTTGTGTTGCTGAAAGACTTGTTTCCAGACCCAAACCAATAAAAGCTGCTATATCTCAAAACAGGCTCACACTATTCAGGCATAATCAAGAAAGAAAGCAAGAAAAATTGTCATCAACTAAGAACAATTGCCAGCTATTTTTCAAATTATACATTGGCTGTCAAAATCGAAATGGTAACCTTGAAGGTTTTTTTTTCCATGAAAACCAAAAGTACTCTCCGTCTTCATCTGATGATGGCAAAATCAGATTAGGGACAAAGAGTGATCTTCTCCCATGTTTAAGTAAAGACACGGAACTTTCAAAAGATGATCCCAATCACTCTGTTATCATCTTGTGAAAATGTTGAAACCTTGGACATTAGAAGTTTTCTGGAGTATAGTGAAAAAATTATCCTACGTACCTGGCAAAGCTACTAGAGCAAATGGAAAGCCTGAACCTAGTGCAGGATGACTATTTTACTACATGTTTAAAAGCATCTACACGAGCTAGATGAGGAAGTGTTGTTGCTATTCCTTGAAATTGACAAGGCTCCTTACGCCTTGAAGATAACGAAAAAGAAAACGGAAGCAGGCTGTAGCCACTGATAGTGAAAATGTAATTATGTTTCCGCAATTATGTATCTAGTCTATCACCGTGTTCACACGAAGTAGCTGACACATGTATGATGGTACATGTTACTGATTCAGTTGCAAAAGTTCATCAAGAAGTCATGATTCGTACAGTGGACACAGATGTTGTTGTACTATCCATTGCTGCTATACAGGTACTTCATATCCCAAAACTGTGGATTGCCTTTGGAACGAGAAATCATTACAGAGTTCTACCTATTCATTCTTATTCACCAGTTCTTGGTCCGACAAGATTATAATCTCTGCCAATGTTCCATGCATTGACTGGATGCGACACAACATCCAGCATGGATGACTTGGAAGAATTTTCCAGAAATTACAGACGCATTCCTCGTATTTGCAGAAGGACCAGACGATGTTTTTGGGAGATTTATTGTGCTGTTATATGACAGAACCAGCAGTTTTGAGAAGGTAATTTGATGTTAAGGTTGTATTCAATCATCAATACAATATTTATTTAAATCGAACGATAAATTAATCATTCATGACCAAGATATGAATAATTTATAACATTTAATCATTTTTTTTTACCATTTATTAAGGTTAAAGACCGTTTCATATTCACAAAGAAGGGAAGACCATTAAAGCTGTCCCACCAACCCAGGACGCACTTATGCAACATATACTACGAGCTACTTACCAAGGAGGCCATATTTGGGGACAGTCCACTTAACCATTGCCAACACTACAGTCTGCTGTTAATTGCGAATAGTATGTTGCAGCTGAGGCCACTGCCAGACGTTTTGTTACGAACTAGGGCAAAAAGGGTTGTTCATCTCGTTGCAAGTGTATAAAAGCAACCCTACCATGTACTGCATTGTGTATGTGTGATGGTCTATGCTACAGAGACTAATCTTCATAATGGAAATTCAAGAGGATGTGATAAATTCCAAGTTTGCAACTTTTCGGAATTTGTAAAGATTAAACAAAGGTTTTTTCAGTGATGACCATTGATAAAACATATTTTGAAAACATTAATCCTGAAATTGTATGTGAATGGCATCTTTGAATTACAGTAATTTATTTCATATTTAGTATTATAATTTGTGAAAATATATAGAATTAGTTGTGAGTTAAAAGTCACTTATGCCAAATTATTGTTATTATTGTTTTGAACCCCAATATATGTTTGTACTTGAATCCTAATATCTATATGTTCAATTCCATCAAACTGTGTTTTAACAGAAATTCAAGAATCAATATAATAGCAATATTTATATCGAGGTGATTTTGACTGCAATGTTACCTATTTGCTGATAAGAATCGTTTGTATAGACTTATCAAGTCCGAATGATATAGTTTTTCTATGTGAATTATTTATTATTACGTATGATCTCTAAAAGTGTGTTTGGATTATGTTCAAGCTTATAATATATCTGTATTGCAAATATTACGAAACATTACCCTTTGTGACCTCTAGTTGACCTCCAAGGTCAAGTTCAATATGGTCCTACATAAAAAATAATCGTAATATCATAACCTGCAAGTGTGCCAATTTTCATGCTAGTATAATAATGTGCAATGTTTTTTATTATAATTAAGGCTTTGCCGCAGGATTATGGGGAACTGAACAAGACTCTTTATTCCTTTTCAAACCACCATA